CCGACAAGACGACGGCGGGGAGCGTGAGCACGCCGTCGCAGGCTGGCTGACCCTCCCTCTCCGGGCGCGGGCGGCGGCGGGGCGGGCGGCTGCGGCGAGGGAGGTGGCGGCGGACGCGGCTGTGGCGGCGGGTGTGGCGTCGGCGGCGGCGGCAGCTCTTGCGATGGCGTCGACACTGGCGGCGGCGGCGGGGAGGGCGGGGAGGGGGGCGGGGAGGGCGGCTTGGGTGGCGGCGCGGGCGGGTGTGGCGGGTGCGGCGGGAAGAGGAAGAAGGAGCGGAGGGTGCTCGGACGCCCTCTAGGAGTCGCTGTCCGCATTCCGTCATAGGAGTAGCTGCTGCGGCCACCAAGGCCGCTCCGGACGGGGCCGAGGTCGTAGTAGTGGCTGCTGCGGCCGAGCGGAGCCCGAGCGGAGATCAAGGTCGCGGCTTCGGCCTTGAGCCTCCCGGCTGTGTCCGTCGCATTGCGACTGCTCCAGAGAGGCTGGTCGAAGGCGGCCGCGCCGTCGAGCACTTGCGCTGCAGAGTGCTGTTTCGGACGCTCCTTGGCTGGCGGCCTGTGCACCCGTGCACCTAGTGTAGGCGTGAGCGACTCTTCAAGATGTGGAAGTAGAAGATGAAGCAACGCCCATGATCCACGCCCCAGGCCCACGGAGCGGGTTGGGACGAAGGCAGGGCGACCGGATTGGAGCTTGGGGTGCTAGCATTACCCGGGTACCTTGGCAGACCGTCCCATCGCCCCGCATCTCCCCACAGCTCCCCACATCGCCCCGCATCTCCCCACATCTCCCCGCATCTCCCCGCATCGCCCCGCATCTCCCCACATCTCCCCACATCTCCCCGCATCTCCCCACATCGCCCCGCATCTCCCCACATCGCCCCGCATCTCCCCACATCTCCCCGCATCTCCCCACATCTCCCCACAGCTCCCCACATCGCCCCGCATCTCCCCACATCGCCCCGCATCTCCCCACATCTCCCCACATCTCCCCGCATCTCCCCGCATCTCCCCACATCGCCCCGCATCACCCCACATCTCCCCACAGCTCCCCACATCGCCCCACATCTCCCCACATCTCCCCACATCGCCCCGCATCTCCCCACATCGCCCCGCATCTCCCCGCATCTCCCCGCATCTCCCGTGCACCTTGGCAGACCGTCTCCTTGCGGCACGGCTCGGGCAGGTCGTTTGGGATCGGGCAGTCGAAGTAGTTGCCTCGGGTGCCTGGCTCCTGCACGGCGAGATGTGGGGAGATGTGGGGAGATGTGGGGAGATGTGGGGAGATGTGGGGAGATGTGGGGAGATGTGGCGATAGGTGGGGAGATGTGGGGAGATATGGCTCCTGCATGGGGACGGTGTTCGTCTTATTGCTTCTCCTCCCGGAGGTCCACGCGTGGATGTGATGAAGATTACTACACGCGGCGGGGCGTGGCTCATCTAGACTCCTCTCGGCGCATCTCCTGGCTGTCGGGCCGACGGCCACAGCATCACCTCGGCTCGCCTCGGCTATATCTCGGCTATATCTCGGCTATATCTCGGCTATATCTCGCACCCAGTGGGGCCACAGCACCTTCGGCCGCCCGTCGGACAGCCTGCCGCGGTCCAACAAGTCGTCATCTTTCACATCATTGTTAGCGCGATCCTCATTCTCATCACCACTGCCACTGGTCGCCGTCGCGCAGCCTGCCGCGGCGTGTGCCCGTGATCCCCACTGGTCGCGCGGCGGTGTGAAGTGAGCAATCTCCTCTCAGTTGAGACTTGAGACTTGAGACTTTGCCTGCCGCGGTCCCAAGGGTCGAGCGGGTCGTCGCCCTCCGGCCCCTTGTTCCAGCCGTGCCAGCGGGCGAGCAGGCCGGGGAAGCCGCCGTGCTGCCCCCGCCGCCCCTGTTCAGCCACCGATCCACGCGCGTCAGGAGAGGTGGCCGGGGGCCTGCACCCGCCCTGTACGAGAGTGTCCCCGCCTGTTCATGCACGCGTCGACTCGTCAAAAGAGGAGGCTGCCCCGCCCCGCCCTCTGCGGGAGGGCATGCTCCGCTCGCCCAGTCTGCGAGCGGCGGCGCGGGCGCCCAGCCAGCGTGGGGCGGCGGGAGGACTTCGAGCTGCAGCCGGCGCCGCCTACGCCGACTATCAAACTACTCTTAGCCTAATAATGTGATTCTCAGAGGCGCCCCTAGGAATTAGCTTGGTAATACCGTTGTGAGGTACCTGCTGATGACAAGGTACACTATTCGGCGAATAGTTTGATAGTGCGGGGTGCCGTGTGGAGCGTGGTATGGGAGGTAGTAGTGCCGCGGGGAGAGGCTAAGCAGATCATCTGCTCAGTTTGCGGCCTGGTGCGCCGCACGCCCTTGCCAACGCCATGCTCCTGCTGCTCCTCCTCCTCTGCCTCTGCCGCCGCGCCCGGCCGCCAGCCCTCGTCCAGCATCCTCCCGGCCATCGGCGGCTCCGGCGCCTGGCAAGAAGTCACTCTTGTTGGTGGTCCGACCTTGGAGCATCCGGGCTGCGCGAGATGCGGTGGAGATACGGGGAGACATGGGGAGATCTGGGGGGAGATATGGGGAGATCCGGCACGGCCTTGGGGCATCCAGGCTGCGTGCTCTACACCGCTACCTCAAGGTACTGCAGCTGCTAGTCTGCGGTGCCTCGTGGGGCGGGTGGGGCGGCGGGGGCGGGCGCAGCGGCGGCGAGGGCGGCGTCGTCGGCGGCGGCGCGGGGGGCGCGGGGTGGCAGCACGTGTAGCTCGCGCCTGGGCAACCGCAACAGTGAGGGTGAGCGGGGGTGTGGACTCTTGTGATTCGGGCGGCACAACAGGTGTAGCCCGCGCGCCTAAGCAATGGCGAGGTCGTCACGTCGTTTGGTGCGGCAGGAGGTGCGCAGGAACGCGTGGGTGCGCCAATGAAGCCAAAGCAGTCTCGCTGGGTGCGGATGGCCGTCCAGCCGCGGCGGCAGACCTGAGGGCATGTCTCGGACATGTGATGGACATGTCATCGTGGACACATGGCTCCATCTCGGCTCCACATCTCGGCTCCAAATCTCGGGTAATCTCGCCGGCCCGTAGATGTCCGTCGGAGGGTAATCTCAGGTAATCTCGGGTAATCTCGGGTAATCTCAGGTAATCTCGGGTAATCTCGCCGGCCCGTAGGTGTCCGTCGGAGGGTCATCTCGGGTAATCTCGGGTAATCTCGGGTAATCTCGCCGGCCCGTAGATGTCCGCCGGAGGGGCGCAGCAGTCGTTGCCGTGGGACTTGCACTGCGTGTCGTCGCAGAGCGGCGGCGGCGGAGGAGGAGGAGGAGGGCGGAGAGGGGCGAGCGGCGGGGCGGGCGGGCGAGGCGGCGGGAAGGCCGGGTCCGCGACGGTGAGGGCGCACTCCCTTGCCGCCTTGAGGCCGCGCGGCAGTGTGCCGGTGAGGCGGTTGTCAAAGAGCTGGAGCGCGTCGAGAGCCCGCAGCAGCGCGAGCGACGCCTGCGGACATGTCGTGGACATGTCGTGGACGTGTCCGGGACGTGTCACAGAGCCCGCAGCAGGGCGGCGACGCCGGGAGGGTGCCAGAGAGCCGGTTCTGCGAGATGCGGAGCTGCGAAAGGCGGGTCGCCGTGCCAATCTCCGGCGGGACGGTGCCTAGAAGGTTCCTAGAAGGTTCCTAGGAGGTTCCTAGAAGGTGCCAATCTCCGGCGGGACGGTGCCGGAGAGTCCCTTGCATGCCTGCACCTCGGGGCAGCTCGTGCTCGTGGGGCAGGGCCTGTTCACAGCTCTTCATTCACAGCTTTTCATTCACAGCTCGAGGACCACAGCCCGTGGGGCAGGGCCTGTCGGCGGCGTAGCTGGCGCTGCCCGCGCAGAACTGGCTCTGCCGCAGGTCGAGTACCTGCAGCCTGTGTGCCATCCCAATCCTACCAGGTCGAGACGCCGACATCAGGGCGGGAGGACGGTGCTGAGGGAAGAGTCTTCAGAGCACCGCGTGAGTCCGAGCGGGGGGGAGGCGACTACAGTGAATACAGCGGGGTACAGGGGGTACAGGAGCTGAACACAGTTGAGTCTACGCCCCTCTCGAGTGCTGGTCGGGAGACTCGCACAAGAACACGTCCGCTTCTAGGACCCCAAACGAGGGCGGGATGGAGCCCGAGAGACCGGCCTGCGAGGGGGGGGGGGGGGGGACTACACAGACATCAGCTAGGGGGAGATCACACGGGGCATCGAGCCGTCCCGTGCGTCTGTCGAGGGAGACAGCGACCGCGGCTTGAGTACAGCGGAGTGCGGCTGAACGCGCGTCTCCTCTCGAGCGAATGTCGGAATGCGAGAGCAGTGTCGGTGTGGGATTGTGGGATGGGTACGCGCATGCCTGCTTGGCCGAGAGCTCCTCGAGTGTGCCCGAGAGGAAGAGGGAGGGGGGGAGGGTGCCCGTGATGTTGGTCTGCTTGATCTTGAGCCGTCGGAGCCCGGAGGCCGCAGAGGCGAGGGCGACCGGCAGCGTGCCCGATACGGCGGTCCGCTCGACGTCGATCTCTTTGAGGGACGTGAGGAGCCCGAGCTGCGCAGGCAGCGTCCCTCGGAGGCCGCGGATGCTTCCCCACTCGATCTGGCTGATCTCGCCCTCTTCGCACGAGACAAACTCCTTCTCGCAGCACGGGATGGTCGGGTTGAGCCACGACCGCCCGCCACTCACCAGCGCCCGCGGCTCAGCCGGCGGCGGCGGCGGAGGGCTCGGCGGCGGCAGAGGGGGCGGCGGAGGCTTCGGCGGACTCGGCGGCGGCGGAGGCGGCCGAGGAGGCGGGGACGGCGACGGGGGAGGCGGCGGCGAAGGTGATGGCGGAGAGCTCGGCGCCGGCGAGGGTGGCGGGGGAGGAAGAGGAGGCTGAGGCGGCGGCGGCCGAGGCCACCCCTGTGCTGGCGCAACCTGCACCTGCAGCCGCCTCCCCCGACCAGACGTTGGCGCCGGAGCAGCCGGCAGAGGAGGACTCCGAGGAGGAAGCACGGGCGGCCCTGAAGACGGCGGCGGAGGCGGAGGTGGAGGCAGAGGCGGAGGCAGAGGCGGTGGCGGTGGCGGCGGCGAGCACAGCCACCAGGATATGCACGGCGATCCCGGCGGCAGCAGCGGGGGGGAGGGGGTCGGAGTGGGCCGACCGGGTGGCGAGGGCGGCGAAATCGGTGGCGTGGAGGGCGGTTGCGGAGGCTGGGGCGGAGGTGGTGACGGTGGCGGAGGGCGGTGGCGGAGCGAGAACGGCGGAGGAAGCGCTAACTGCTGCTTAAAGGACGCGAGCTCGTCGCCCACGACGTACTTTTTCCAGCCTTGCCCGCCCATGGAAAAGTAGCAGGCGGACAACGCGATCTCGCAGCTGGATGCCGGCTGGCCACGAGCCACCATCACGAGGAGACCCGCCGCGAGCATGGCTGGCGGAGAGGAGCAGGGAGCGAAGAAGGAGGGGTAGGAGACGAGGGAAGGCGGGCCTCACCTGCCGGGCCGGGGGCCAATCGAGCAGTCAAAGTCTGGCCACAAGGGATCCCACAAGGGGGCGGAATTACAGGGAATATTTTTTTCTCGAGGTTGATCCTCGTGGCAGCCAGCTGGCTGTGTGTCTTGTGAGCCTGTTTGTGTCTGTGTGTCGCTCGTGCGTGTCGTCATCATCTGTCTAGCGTCCACCCATACCGCGTTGGTGTCCAGTCCGAGCCTGGCTGTTCTTCACCTTTCTACCTACCTACTATCCTCGTGCCTTTGGCCGCGAGAGAGGGGTCGACGAGGAGGAGCAACTGGAGTGAGGCGAGCAGCGATGCAAGCTACGAGGAAGGGGAACGACTAGAACGTGTTCGTGATGAGACTGTGACCAGTCGACCGTCGTGCGACTGGCTGTCTAAGCCTGGCGCCGACCCGGTGTTTTGCACACCCACCTTCTGTTCAGTCGACGCTCGTCGTCCACTGAGAACTCAGTGGTTGTCACCACTTTGTATTCTTTAATATTAACCTTGCGAACTCGTCCCCCCCGGCAGGGCTATGCAACTGTGACCAGTGTGTGCTGTCTACGCCTGAACCAGGTGTCAAATCTGCCGATGCGTGACCTGTGCGTGGGCTGCTCTGTGAGGGGTCCAGGCGTAGTCCGACGGGTAGGGGGTCTGTGCCCGGGCGGTGTCCGGTGCGGAGTCTCTCTCTGATCCTGCCTGGGATGTTGGGTGCGAGGTGTGGCGGCTTCGATCCCAAGGGGGGGAGCTGATCCCACTCGGTAACCAACTCTCAGGGGCAGTAGGTGGGCGAGCTTCAAGCGCGCTCATCTCGATCGTCAAGGCGTCGCTACGCGCGGTCTTCCGCGGGGGGAGCTTCGTCGACGGGTGCGGGACCGCGGCGCAGACAGTGCTGCGGCGATGCCTCCGGCTGCTGCGGCGAGTGGGGTGCTGCTCGCTGCGATGGCGAAGAACTCGTCTCGTCACACGCCAAGGGCTTACGCTCTGTCGAGACGTGAGGCGTATGCGCCCAGGAGGGGAGGGCGCATGCGTAACGACGCTGCTAGAGATGCCTTTCGGGGCCCAGAGATAAAACTTCTGATGCCATGCGTGACCTAGTAGTGTCCCCAGCTATGGGCGTGTCCACGTTGGAGCCAGGTGTGGTGTGGACGCGAGAATAGCTCCGCCGTTCATGGAGGCAACCGATGCGAGTCGACTGGTGTGTGTCGTCGTGGTTTCGTATCAAGAATTCTCTCTCTCTCTCTCTCTTTGGCCGCGTTGGGGAGATCGCGCTCTACTCGGGGCACCAAGGAGGAAAACCGAAACCGTTTGGGTGCCCCACAACAACCCAAACGCCACAACCTAAGCGCCACACCTCCCCCCCACGTCCCCCCCCCCTTGGGGACGTAGCGCACGCCCTTGCTCGGAGAGAGTGGGGGGGGAGGGGGGGTGGGGGAATAGGAGGAGCCAACGAGCTCGGAGTAAGGTCCACAGTAGAGAGGCCGGCATTTAAGGCGTAACTTCACCCTCGCTCACCTCGAGTATATCTAGGCGCCCTGGTGCAGTCGGTCTTCGGATCAGCGGCCAGCTTCCCATCTAGGGCAGGGAACCCCCAGCGACGCTAGTGTGGCCTACGGTAGCCATAGCTTGTACGCGATCCCGGGGCAGGGGGGTGTGGACTCTGGAGCTCCAAGAGAGGATAGAGAGAGGAAGGGAGATTGGTGTGCCGGTTTTTTGAGCTAGCAATTTTTTTTTTGTTCGACTTCGATCATCCCTTCAACCCAACTTCCCTTTCTATCGCCAGCAGCGCTCTCCTCTATGGCCCATGCGCCCACGCCTCGACCTTCTTGGGCAGCAGCTGGTCCGACCGGTCCTCTCCGTGGCCTAGGCAGCCGGTCTCGCCCTCGCCCCAGGTAAGGACGGCACCGTCGGCGGTGAGGGCGAGGCTGTGCTCACCTCCAGCCGACGCAGCGACGACGCGCTGGCCAGCAAAGGCCTCGACCTTCTTGGGCAGCAGCTGGCTCTGCCGGTCGCCGTGGCCCAGCTTGCCGTATTCTCCATCGCCCCAGCTCCAGACAGCGCCGTCGGCGGTGAGGGCGAGACTGTGTTCGCCCCCAGCCGACACGGCGACGACGCGCCACCCAGCTAAGGCCTCGACCTTCTTGGGCAGCAGCTCGCTCTGCCAGCCGCCGTGGCCGAGCTTGCCGTATTCTCCATCGCCCCAGCTCCAAACGACGCCATCGGCAGCGAGGGCGAGGCTGTGGAACCTTCCAGCCGACACAGCGACGACGCGCCGCCCAGCTAAGGCCTCGACCTGCTTCGGCAGGAGTTGGGTCTGCTGGTCACTGTGGCCCAGCTTGCCAAAGTATCCATCGCCCCAGCTCCAGACAGCGCCGTCGGCGGTGAGGGCGAGGCTGTGTTCGCCTCCAGCCGACACGGCGACGACGCGCCGCCCAGCTAAGGCCTCGACCTTCTTCGGCAGCAGCTGTAGCTGCGTGTCGCCGTGGCCCAGCTTGCCGTCGACCCCACTGCCCCAGCTCCAAACCGAGCCATCGGCGGTGAGGGCGAGGCTGTGGAAGTCTCCAGCCGCGACGGCGACAACTCGCTGGCCAGCCAACGCCTCGATCTTCTTCGGCTGCCACTGGTCATGCTCGTCGCCGTGGCCCAGCTGGCCATAGTATCCCCGGCCCCAGCTCCAAACGGCGCCGCTGCCGGTGAGGGCGAAGCTGTGGTATGCTCCAACCGACACGCTCACGGCGCGCTCGCCCAGCGTCGAAGGGAGACGGGTCGGCGTGTTGAGCCGCGTCACGCCCTCACCATGGCCAAGGAGGCCTGGGTCGGTATTCGCATTGCCGCACGACGAGAGCCGCCCCTCGCCGACGATGAAGAGGCTGTGCGTATAGCCTGCGGCCGCCCTCGCGGGCGGGTTGGACTCGCATAGCAACGCCGAATAGCACAGCCACCGCACGGCGCAGCTCTCGCCCTCGGGCAGCGCCGGCAGCTCGAAGCCGCGCTCCTGCGCCCACAAGCGGATGCCCTCCAGCACAAGCGAGGCGTGAAAGAGCAGGGAGACGGCCGCGACGCGCGCGATGTCGGCGGGGTCGCAGTGAGAGAGGGCGCGCACGAGGAGCTCCGTGGGGAGGTCGAGGAGGCGGGCGGGCGGCGGCGTGCTTGGCGAGGGCGCGGCGGCGGCGGCGGAGGCGAGGCGGCGCGAGCGGCGGCGCGGGGACATCGCGAAGAAAACAAAACGCCGGGGCTAGGGGTCAGGGCTCTCTAGCCCGTACGACGAGAGTGGGACGACCGCGAGGTGGCATGAAGGCTGCAGCGAGAAGCGGCGAGAGACTGCGAAGAGAGATAGGAAGAGGCAGACTCCCTAGGGTGGGCGACGGATAGCGCACCACACACACCTCTCCTTAAAATCCCTGTGTGGTGGCGGCGTGCCGTCCTCCCATCCCTCCCTTGGGTTGTCTGGTTTCTTTCTTTCTTTTTTTTACGATTCACGCGACAGGCGTGGCGCGGGCGACGGCTTCCTCAGAAGCCGTCGCCCGCACCACAGGAGCAGTCACACCACTCCCACTCCGGCGCCCACCCACTCCCCACCCCGACATCCCCACCCCACCCCACAACCCAGCCCCACCCCGACCCGAGCAACCCCGCCCCAATCCGACCCGACCCGATCCACCCCGACCCGCCCCGCCCCGCCCCCCCCACCGGACCAACCCGCGAGCCGCTCCAGGCTTCGCCCCCCGCCCAACCGCCAACCCTTGGGCTGTAGCAGGTTTGCCTAGGGCGACTTCGACAGCGAGAGGACAGACGAGCAAGGGAGAAGACGACGTACAGACGGCGAGACAAACGGCGGTGGAAGCGGCGGCGGTCGAGATCTACAAATACCTGGGCACCCCGATAACCGCCCAGTGGCAGAAGGGGATGGAACCGGCGAGACAAAAAACGAGAAGGGAAGCGACGCGGCTAATGAAAATGGTGGGCGCGCTCACGCAATTAAATGCGGACGAGATGCAACGAGCGATGAACGCCGCGATGGAAGGGGTGGTCGGAGCGGCTGCAAGAGGGACCGTCATGACGATGGAGGACTGCGACGCCATCGAAGTTGCGAGGCGAGACGCGATAGAGCGACAGGGAGCAGGAACAGCATACCCGAAGGCACACCTATACGCGGCGGAGGAAGATGGTGGTGAAGGGAGCATGCACACGTATCAGGTAGCCACGGCGAGCTGGATGAGCACGATCGACAACATGCTCTCGGCACCAGAGGGACGACCCGCGGGGATGGTCGCGAGATATGCGCTGGCGAGGACGGCATGGAGACTGGGGTGCCGCGGCAAACACCCACTCGAATGGGACACGACATTCATACCCGACGGGCAACTAAATGAAGGAAACCTGATGGAGGCATACTACCTACAGCGGAATCGGGCAGGACTACGAGGCATGAGGACGTCGATGCAGATGAAAGACGGCCTCGATGATGACCTGTGGGAGATGACTGGCCAACAGGAAACAGTGCGGGGCCCACGACTATGGGAAGACAGCATGACCATGTGGAGGCGAGGCGCCCGACGGTGCACATACAAGAAGAGGCTCGCGGAGGTCGGATTGGTATGGTGGAGCGACGTGACAAACGAGAAGGGCGACGGATGGATGACGTGGACTGAGGCATCGAGGGTCCATGAGTTGCGGGGCAAGACAGATAAAGAGGACTACGAACAGCTACTAGGCGAGTTAAACGGACAGCCAGAGGCGACGACCGCACAATGGTTTGCGGGGAGGCACGAGCGATGGGACGAGGCAGGGCTAGAATGGAACAGAAGTGATCAGAGAATAGCCATCCGAATTGCGGCGGAAGCGTCGACAGAACAGAGGGGAGTCCGAAATGGACAAGTAAAGGGCGAAGACAAATGGACGTACGAACGAATCGACGGGGCACGACGAACGGGGGAGACGGGAGAGGACGCGACCGAACGGTGGGAGTACCTAATTAAATGGAAGGGCGCGACAAAACGGACATGGGAGCGCCACCGGACCATCGCGGCGATGGGGGGCGCGAAGCTAGAGGCGCTCAGGGAGGCGCAAGACACAAAATTAATACCGTTCAGCACCCGCGACCGCATCGAACGAGCGGCAACGAGAGGAGAGGCTGGTATGCGAGCAATGCTAACCGCAATCGACACCTGGGCGGACACGGCGGGGGCGCAGAGACCAAACGACGACACGCTGACCAGGATGTGGTCCACAATAAAACGACACGTCGAGGTTGCCTCCCACAGTGACGAGGCAGGACAACGCCAAGACAACATCAAAGAGAGCACGCGCAACGAGACCGAACGCGACAGACATAGCTCGGCGCTACCCTTCAGAACATTATACCTAGGCAAGGAGCCGAGCACAGAGAGCGACGCAGCAGATAGCGATGCACAGCAAGGCCAAGAAATCACATGGTCATATGGGGACTCATACAGGAGCCACCGCAAGGAGATGGGATACAAGGCGGGGACCAGGGCGGATCCGAACGCAATAACACCCCAGCAAGCGCGGACGGCATTCGCGAGATACTGCAAAAAGATAGACGTGACGAAGGAGGAGCTAGCGTGGAACTTTGGATGCATATCGGCAAGCCAAAATAACGAGCAGGAGGCTGTCCTGGTGCGTGAGCTAATCCTGAGCAACAATAAGCGACTGTACCACGGAGCACAGAGCGCAGCAGACAGGACGGCGGCGACGGCGGACATGGCAGAGACGAGTGTGAAACAAAGGGCGGCGGGCATGGAGGGCGGTAGCGACGGGGATGGAGACGGTGACGGTGGCGAGGGAGAGGAAGGGGGTCCATTAACACCAGACAGCGAGAGGGGCAGGGAGGAAAGGGGGAGAGAGGAAGCCAACGCGACGTGCGCAGAGGATGAGGATATAAACTGGGACGACGCAGCGGAGGGGATAGGCGAGGGAATCGAGGGACCGGAGGGCTTTCGCGACAGCGACGATGACGACGAAGAAAGGGGAGGGGACGGAGGGGCGACACACAGGAGGAGCGAAATCGCTAACGGCCCGAGCAGAGAGGGCGACGGCGGAGCACGAGGGAACAACGGAGACGCTACCGATGACGCGAACCGAGGCACGGACGCCGGCGGGGACGGGGAGGGCGACAGCGACGTCGAGGTTGACGCAACCGTATCGAGAGCGCCACCCAAAAAGGGGCGGACAGCCATGGAGGTCACCGAATGGAGGGCGAACGGCACGATGCGAAAAGGCAGGGCGAGGCGGATGGAGAAAGAAGTGCCGAGAAGGCCATGGTGGAGGGGAGGGACGGGAGGACGAAAGAAGGGCGAGGAGGACGAGCGGCCCGCACAGACCGCGAGCAGACAGCGCCTGCTGGCCATTTCGAGACATTCGCCAAGAACGCTAGCTACATGGGAGGGCTTCGTGAAGGATGGATTGAAAAACATTCGAACAAAGAAGAGGCGACGGGAGGAACCGGCGGAGGATGCAGTGACGTGAGACACACACACACACACACACACACACACACACACACACACACACACACACACACACACACACACACACACACACACACACACACACACACACACACACACCGCTCACCCACGCGCACTGGGCCTTGCACTTTGAATGCCGTGGGGCTCCTGTCGTCAGACGTGGAGACGCGAGGGTTGCCCCCCCTTGCCCCACCACCTCGTGTGTGTGGAGAAGTTTACCTTACCTTACCTTACCTTAGCACGTATCTGACAGCCTGACAGCAGAGTCTGACAGGTGAGGTGACCCGTCGCTGTCAGGCCCTAACGTGACAGCCTGACAGCTGCCCGACAGCCCGACACAGCACGCAGTGGCCTGTAGGTAAAGCCGTAGCCGACAGCAGCGCTGATACAGCCCGACAGCAGCACAGACCGTACTGCATACACAGACCCCGTAGAGCCTCTTTCTTGTGCCCCGTGAGAGGGTGTAGCAAAACTATTACATGCAAAGACATGTGAGTGTGGTCCATGTAGGCATGGGTTGGTCATTCGATTCTGTGGAGTCCGCGCCAACCTCTGTGCGCAGACCGGCTTCTTCAAGCAGCCGTGCTGGTGCACTTTCCTCTGGCTGACACCTATGTCCAGGGTGGCGCGTTGCTGGAGGAGCCGGGAGAGAAGGAGGATGATCCAAACGGCACACCCGATGCTGAGCCGGCCGAGCTGACCGCCATGGGCGCACAGGATGCTGCAGATGCCGAGGCCGTGGCGGGCGGGACTAGCAGAGCAGGGGCTGCTCCCACCGGCACTACTGCCCGTCTCGATCAGCAGGTGTAGAGCCCCACGTTGCAGGTGGCGGGCTTGGGGTCGACCTGAGGCAGGGGAGAGGGTCCGGCAAGCCCGCTTTCACCGCTGCAATGGGACGCCATTTTCCGCAGTGCGGTGCAGGGCGGTGCAAGGAGGGGAGGCAATGCGGAGGGGGCGGGAGAGGGGAGAGGAACGCACGATGATGTTCCACCACGACCCGCCCCCCAGGCTGGGCATCGTCAGAGAGGCGAGGTTGGGGTTGTCCAGCACCTGTCGCGGTGGCGAGGTCGCGGGGCTGGGCAGCGGTGCGGTTGAGGGCGGTGCGAGGAGGGGAGGCAGTGCGGGGGGGCGGGATAGGGGGAGAGGCGCGCACGATGATGCCTCCTTGGGCATTCGCTTCCTCCAGGTTGGGCATCGCCAGCGAGACGAGGTTGGTGTTGTTCTTCACCTGTCGCGGTGGCGAGGGGCGCGGGGCTGGACAGTGGTGTGGTGTGGGGCGGTGCGAGGGAGGCAGTGCGGAGGGGCGGGAGGGGGGGAGAGGCGCGCACCGAGATGATGCCTCCGTCCACGAGAAACAGGTTGTTCATCGTCAGAGAGGCGAGCTTGGCGTTGTTGTGCACCTGTCGCGGTGGCGAGGGCGCGGGGCTGGTCAGCGGTGCGGTGTAGGGCGGTGAGGGAGGGGCTAGTGCGGAGAGGCGGAAGAGGGGGAGAGGCGCGCACGTCGATGTATCCGTACAGGTCACTCAGGTTGGGCATCGCCAGCGAGGCGAGGTTGGTGTTGCCCCTCACCTGTCGCGGTGGCGAGGGCGCGGGGCTGGGCAGGGGTGCCGTGCAGGGCAGTGTGCGAGGAGGGGAGGGCTAGTGCGGAGGGGCGGGCGGGGAGGGGGGGGGGGGGGGGGGGCAATTCGCCTCTTGGGTGAGGACATCTCGGGCAATCTCGGCTAAAGACTGCCAACGGACTACTGCAGAGAGGACTACTGGCCCCTATTACTGGAGACTGGGCAGAGGACTACTGTTACTGCGGGCTGGAATTACTGGGCACTGGGGAGACTGGGCAGAGCACTACTATTACTACTGGTTACTGGAGACTGTGCAGAGAACCCCCCCGCATTATTACTGGTTACTGGAGACTGCGGACTACGCTACTGCAGACTGCAGAGTGCTGCAGACGTTTCTCACATCTCTCCTTCGCTGCCGCGATACTCGGACTGTAGCGGGGCGACGCTGAGAGCGTCGCCCCGCTACAGCGGGGCGGGTTCGCTCTCTTGCCGGGAGAGAGGGCAGAGAGAAGGAGGCGGGCTGCGCGGGACTCACGGGCAATCTCACTCGGCTGATTACAGCGCATCGTGTTTGGGCCACATCAAGTGACGGAGAGCGATCTTTGAGGGGGAATGGAGAGAAAGAGGGGCTCGTGGGGGCCGCGCCTACTCGCAGCGTTCGAGCTCGAGGTCCAGCTCGCAAGAAGCCGCGGCGGCTCCCCTCGCTCACGTTGTTTTGGATCTGCGGGCGCACGGCGACGGCGGCCGAGCGTCAGCAGCTAAAATGGGATGCGCATGGTGCAGGCTGGCGCGGGGCAAGGGTGGGGAATGAACAGCAGCGGACGCGTCTCCCGCCCCTCAATGTCAGCGGCGGCACCTGCGAGCGGGAGGGAGCAGGCGGTGCGAGGCCGAGGGGCACCGACGGGCGGCGAGCGAGGGCGCATCGCACGTGCGGGAGCGGGCGGCGTGGGTTTCGTGAGCAATAGGCGTCGCGGGGATCCAGCCGTGCAGCGCGCGGCTTCATTGGAGGCGCGGTGCCGCGGGGCAAGCGCGAGAGGCAGCGGAATAGGGCAAGCCATCGCCTTTTGAGTTACAAACGCAGCGTTCGTTTATCTTTTTTTGAGCTAGGGGCACCCCCTAGCTGCAGGCAGCTAGCCCATGAGGAGAGCGTCCATAGACACCTCACTAGACCCCACATACGGTCTCGTCCGTGCCTAGCAGGCCGGTGAGATTGCTAGAGGTGGAGCATGCTGCTCTAGCCTCACATGTCACTTCCTGTTGTCTGTTGTTTGAGTTGTGCCCTTGTTTGTGCCCTTGGCACCGTGGAGTGCTGGGGGGGGCGACAGGAAGGATGTGGCGCTGAGTTATGTGTACGCCGACTCAGGGTGTGTGGCAGCCAGCTGGCTGTGTGTCTTGTGAGCCTGTTTGTGTCTGTGTGTCGCTCGTGCGTGTCGTCATCATCTGTCTAGCGTCCACCCATACCGCGTTGGTGTCCAGTCCGAGCCTGGCTGTTCTTCACCTTTCTACCTACCTACCTACCCCCTGAGCTTGTCCTAAGACAAGTAGGCACCAGATATGGCCTGAGACGGGTCTTCGAGCAGGAACACAGGCCGTTCATGCTCGCCATCAAAGCTCAAAGACAAAGCAGCTGCGTCATCCGGCGGCCGCCTGCGCTACTCGAGTAGAAATGATCGGCGCCAGAGCCGGGAGGTGCGCGCGGTCGGTCGCGGGGGAGCGCAATGCGATGGCCTGAGCGAGGACGCCTCTGTGCGCCCGCGCGTTAGCCATGTCTGGGGAGGTGAACGCGTCCTGTTGAGTGGTGGGATGTCGTGTGTGTGGGTGTTCGCCGCCTATATGCTCTATCCTGCGGCAAGACGGACGTGTTTTGACAATCAAAATCTACCTCAAAATTTGCGGCCGCCCCTCCGTCTGGGGGGGCGACCCCCCCATCTTTGTTTACCGATGCGTCCTAGAATGCAAAAACGCATTCTAGGACGCACTTTTCATCTCAAAGATACCATGTGTCTCGGGTACACAGGGCATTCTAGGATGCGATGGCTGTCCTGGAGATAGCCGCGCCGTGTCTTTTGTTACGCGTTCCATCTTAGACGCCACAAGCATCTATAGATGCACAGCTGTTCTGAGATGGCACTTGCATACTAGATCACATTTTACTATACTTGGACAGGGAAGCGTCTCAGGAGACACCGTGTGTCGGGTGCACCGGGCACCGAGGGCGGAGGGGGGAGCAGGGAGCCAGGGAGCACGAAAAGGCGGTGTGATCTCTCGGCACCCCCTGGGGGCCCTGCCTTGAGTGCTCGTGTGAGGTCTCTCCTCGCGGCCTGCCCCTCCTGGAGAACCAGGTTCTCAGCACCGCGCATGCATCTGCTCGCGCCACGAGCTCTGGGCGCAAAGACCAAAGTTGCATGCACTGCTTACGACGATCCGACGGCGACGCCGCCTCCCCCCCCCACCAACCAGTTTGCGCGGCAGGTAGCGGGGCCAGTTCGAGGCTGAGGGCGTGGGCGTGCGCCTAGACACGGAAGACAGCGTACTTCCGAGAGTCGGCCAGCGGCGCGGTTTTTCTTGTTTGACTTGGCGATTTGAGGGACCGGGCATCCCGACTCGCTCGGTGAGCTGTCGCCCACCAGCGCGCGGCGACCGCGCGCACACCGTGCCCGCCGGCTCGCCGCCCTCCTCACCACCCGTCGGCGCTGTCCGCAGGCATGTGAGTCAGAACGGCGACCGCGCAGCGCGCACGGGTGTCTTGCTCGCCACCACCCTCTCGCCCCCGCTCCGTGACCGCCGCCGCCCGCGCCACCGCCGCCGCCAACACCGCCTCGCGCCTCGCGCCTCGCTCTCGCCGCCCCCGCCGCCCGCCCTCGACCTCGCGACGGCGTCCTTCTGGGGATCTGCGGGTGGCTTGCCCGCCTCGCCGCCGCCCCCACAGCGTGACCGCTTCCGCCGCCCCCACAGCGTGACCGCTTCCGCTCGATCGGTGAGCCGTCGCCCACCACGCGCGCTCTCACGGCGACCGCGGGCCGCTCATCGCCTCCGCCACGTCGCAGGTGTTTGATCTGGGCAGGAAGCGGCGCTGGTGACGGCAACCGGCAGCCACGTGCACGGAGTGCTAAGCGAGGTGCCTGTGTCCAAGTCTGAGTAGCCCGTGGCCGTGAGTGGCGTCAGGGGCAGTGTTCTGTGACTGTGTCCTGTGCGTGCTGTTCAGTGTGAGTCGGTGCAGCGGTGGGCCTGCTGCCGCTGCCACACGTGAGAGCCGCTGTCCGTGCCCCAGCACGTTGCGCGGAGAGGCTATAGGGCGCCCACCCACGAGTGCTCGGGTGGGCGCGCCGCGGCTGTGCGAGTAGTAGCGCAGCAGCCGCGGCGCACAGCCGGGGGCACGGCCCGCCGCGCGTTTTCGTTTTCTTTTTTGTTTTTATACGTGCGTGTATTTCTTGAGATCCACACGCTGTTCAAAATATGCGCGCGTCTTCTGAGACACGCGCTGTTCACAGTATGCACGGCGCGTCTTTTGAGACAGCAACGCCAATCGGAGATGCCGCGAGCAATTCGGGATGCGCGGAGCAACTAATATAGACTCGCGCATCTTAGGATGCTCGAGCATACCGAGGACAGCGAGCGTCTAAGTAGGAGGCCTACTAGACGCACTCTAATCCAGAGACGCATTCGGTAAACAAAGATGGGGGGGTCGCCCCCCCAGACGCTCGAAATTTGCTGATCAAAATTTGCGGTGGCCCGGATGCGGATCGAAACCTGTGGTTTGGCCAACGTGTGGGGTGTGGCATTGTGGCTGTACGAATCTGTACGTCAACGTCGCGGCCACAATCTGAGCTAGCGAGTCACGCGCCGTGCGCGTTTTTCGGGCTACATATCCGCTGGTGGTGCATGGAACAGCAGCTACAACACAGCACTGTCTCAAGCCATGGACTCGATACGTACATTTCAATGCAGAGCTCAGAGCCAGAAGCCCATATTACGTAGGCGCGATGTGACATGGAAGTCCGTTCAACTGGTGCGCACGCCGTGTATGATCTCGGTCTGGGTCAGCTTCCCGTCCTCGAGATGAAGGATGGTCTGCACGCAACTGTCCGCGCCGGTCAGCACGATCGAGCCGCAGTCCAGGCGCGTCGCCACGGCCTCCTCGCCCTGCCCGCACTCGGCGCAGCTGCTGTCCTCGGTCCGGCTCACGAGCAGGGTGTCGCGGCCGACCTGGTGGAACTTGTATTCAAACGGCAGCCCCATGGCGTCGAACTTGACCACGCCGCCGCCGATGTGCTGCCCGCGGAGCGTCACCTTGCGCTCGCCCGCTGTCAGCGTCGTCGTGCAGTTCTCGCCGTCCACCTCCCACTCGACGGTGCGCAGCCGGTCCTCCTGCCGTTCAAAGCCTATGCCGCTGAAGATCATATAGTTGTTTGTCCAGGTCCCGCCCACGAAGCGCGAGATCACCGGGAAGGGCTCTTCCGACATCGCCGCCGCCGCCCCGCCGCGGTAGCGCATCACCGGCCGGGAGAAGAGCCGGGAGACGAGCTGGGGCGCGAACGCGTTCGCGCAGGGGAGGAGAAGGAGGGCCAGGGTGCGGGCGAGAAGAAGCCGCGTCCGTTCTGCAGGCTCCATGTCAAACTTTGGTCCCATTCACAGCCTCGAGTCGATAGGCGATTCGATACGGGACCCCTCGATCGTGGTCTCGCCCCTTGAGTGAAAACCTGACCGCCAGAAAACGGTATGGCGGGTGGAGTGCTCTCTACTGCCGCGGCGCCCCTGTCGGTTCGGAGGCGCCCGGCGGCCGCGCGCTTGGTGCCGACGTCAACCGGCTGCTCTCGCGGCGCCGAGGCGTGCCGCTTTGGTCACGTCTCGCGCGCTGCGAGGTGTCTTTTGGCATGTGAGCGCTCGCCAGAGACGCCAGGAAGCTCGCCTTCCTTGCCTGCGGCCGCGGGCGAGCGGGCGGGCACGCATGGCTCGGCGACGCTCCACGCGGGTCTTCGAGCTCGCGGCCCGCGACGAGCCAGCATGGCTCGTCGCTCGACGGGAGCCTGCCCAGTGTGCTCTCGGCACTCTGTACAGCCTCGATAAGCTCTCTGGGAAGGCCTACAGGGCCAGAGCGGGCCGCCTCGGGCGAGATGGCGCGCTGAATGCTACCATGACTACGAGCTCTCCGATCGGGTCGCCGGCAGCGGGCTCGCGCGACGTGCTGCTCGACGGCAGGCCGCTCCCCACCCTTTCAACAGTGTCTTTTACATCGCTTCTCTCGCTGCAACCGCCTGCGGGGGCCGGCGCCGGCCGCCTCGCTTCGCCAGCGCTGCCTACGACTGTGACATGCGTGTCGACTCGCCGCCCGCATCGCCTGCGACGGGCCCGCGTGGCGCGCTGCTCGTGGGGAGCGTGCTCAGCAGGCTGTGCAGCGCAGCCTGACTCACTCAGAACGCTGCTGATGCGGCGTGGGGCCGCCGGCGGCGCAGCTGCCGCGCACGCTGCGCTGTGAGACAGACGGCGCCATCGGCGGCGATGGCGAGGACGTGCGCACGTGCCACTCTCCAGAGATAAACCTCCGCAAGAGACTAGAGAGAGTCAGGCCGCCCGCAAGAGAGTCAGCTGTCAGGCCGCGCACAGCGCGAACTCTCGCCGTATACTGAGCACTTGGAGCACTTCGAGTGCAGTCATTAATTAACCGCACATCCCACAGGGCCGGGGAGCTAAGAAGCGCACCCAGCGGGCCGGATGATTGGCATCGGGTTGCGGGCAAGAGAGCCCTAGCCCTGGGGGTGCGCGTTCGCAGGGCAAGGGCCGTAAAGTAAACACGGGTCTCCGAGGGTTGGCTCCGTGTACCGGGTTTGAGCCTACCTAGCGCAGCGCGAACTCGCCGTCTGAGCCTAGCGCAGCGCGAACTCGCTCCTGTTCATAGCTGCGCAACCCTAGCCGCGCTCCATTTTTTCTTATCAGCCTTTCTGTGAACTGTGAGCAGGTGAGCACGCACTACTTCTACTCCTCAAAACGGACTACTTCCTTACTCGCCGTGAAGTTGTCTGCGAGGCAAAGACGACCGCCGCCTGCTGGCGCGGCGCCTAGATGAGCGAGGCAAAAGAGATCTCGCCCATCGAACAGCCAGAGTCCGCCACCATAGCAGCCAAAGACCGCGACGACTCGGTCGCCTCCGAGATGGATGGTCGTGACTCCCGGATAGCAGAGCTGGAGAAGGCTCCTATGCTGGACCCCGAGAAGGGCAGGGTGGAGAAGTCGGACACGTCGAGCCCAGAGACGCCAGCAGCTGCAAAGAAGGAGGAGAAGAACAAGGCGGCCGACGCGGCCGCGTTCGCCTTCTGCTTCGTCGGGCTGCAGGTCTCCTACCTCACCTGGGGCTTTGTGCAGGAGAAGGTCATGACCAAGGAGTACACGACTGGCAAGTTTCCGTCAGCCACGTTCTGCGTCTTCTCGAACCGGGTGCTGGCCATCGTGGTGGCGATGGCGGCGATGGGCATCCAGCACCGCTCGCTCAAGATCCCCGCTCCCTTCTACGCCTTTGCCCCCTGCTCCATCTCAAACACCCTCTCCTCCTACGGGCAGTACGAGGCGCGCTCTCCCGCGAGGCCCGCACCGTGCTGAGGAGGAACGCACAGAGACTCGCAACTCCCGCCTGCCGACGCCGGCCGGCGGAGACGCTGCGCCCGCGCCCGCGCCTTCCTCTCCTCCCCTCCCCATCCCTCCCCGTACCTCTCGCCACCGCCACACACACCTCTCGCCACGGCAGCGCACACCTCTCGCCACACCTCTATCCACACCTCTCGCCACACCTCTCGCCACACCTCTCGCCACACCTCTCGCCACACCTCTCGCCACACCTCTCGCCTCGGCCGCGCAGGCGCTGCACTACGTCTCGTTTGGGCTGCAGACCCTCTCCAAGTCGACAAAGGCGCCGCAGACCGCCGCCCCGCACCGCGCCCCGCACCCCAGGTCATCTCAAACTTCGCATTTGGCCACTCGCTGGGCATCAGCGGGTGGGCCGCCGCCAGCGTCGTCTTTGCGACGCTCTTCTACCGCGTCTACAGGTCCCAATTAATGATTAATGCAGAGAAGTAGTCATGATTTAACAATAGCTCTTCTGCCGCGTCTACAGGCCTTGAACGGTAGATGCCACCAACGACCATGAATCACTGTTGGTGAAGGTCGTGTGAGCTGACCCCCTCCCCCTCCCCCTCCCCCTTCCCCGCCTACAGAAGCGCAAAGTCGCGGAAAGGCTGAGCCCGGCTCGGCCGAGTGGCGCGGCCCCCTTCTATGCCGCGCCCGCTGCGCGAGGAGGAGCGAAGGGGGGGGAGGGCTCTGTGTGTGCTGTCGGAGTGGAGTGTCGGTCAGGGACGCTCTCTCATGCCGTGTCTCGATGCCGTGTCCGAAGCACACCTGAGGATCGGTCGCGTCGAGCCGGCCGTGACTGCTCCTCACGCTCGTGGGGAGTGGGTCGCTGGAGTCGCCGGTCTCGCTCGCAAACTGCGGGCTCCGAGTGGCACTGTCAGTGGGCAGTATCTCTCCAGAAGCCCCGCGCTCGCGCTTCCCGCCGGGGTCTCGTTGTGGCTTGTGCGTCGCGCGGGTCTTGCACCACTCACGCGTCTCTTACCGTTTTTTGATCTGCGCACCGCCGGTAAAAATAGCGCCGGAGGACTCCCTATTAGCCATTTTGCTTTTTGGCAAGGCATGCTGGCAGCCACTGACTCACGCCGGTGCCGGAACTCGGCCGTCCATCAACTTTTCGCTGCATCATGGTGGACCTCGCAAGGCTGGCCGAGCTGAAGAGGCTGCTCAACGACGGGACGCTGACTCGGGAGGAGTTTGAGGCGCTCAAGCAGAAGGAGTTGCAGGCGGACGGCACCGACCGCGGCTCCGACCGCGGGTCAGACTGTGCCTCGGAACGCTCCGCCTCGCCCGCGCCAGTCATCGGCGCGCCTGTGTACGGGGCAGCCACTGGCAGCGCAGTGCCGGGCGCGCCTGGAGCCTCGAGCACGCCCGCCCTCGCCGAGATGGGCGAGATCTTCAGGAAGGAACTCGGCGTCGCGGGCACCAACCTGGTTGAGATTGTTGAGGCGAGCTGCGTCGCGCTCGGAGTGTCAGTCAAGGGGAAGAGCCTCGCACAGCAGGCAAACGAGTGCTGGCGCATCCTGCAGTCCCCTGCTGGAGCACACCTCCCAGCGGGCCGGGCGTCGGCGGGCGCCTGCAGTGGTTCAAAGCACGTGGGAGGGATGAAGACCACCGATCCGTTTGCGGTGCCGACGGCTCACGACGACCCGCACGAACGCATTGCCGAGAGGCTTTCGCGTGCACGGGCGAGTGCTGCGTCGTTTGCTTCGAGGCGATCATCGACTCGTGTGGCTCCGGCCATCACGGAATCGGCATCCTCTGCTTCGTCTGGCCTTGCGGTGGATACTGAAGCAGGGCAAGTGCCGCCTCGGGACCGGGCAGAATCGGAGGGCGAGCGGCTGTCCAGCTCACGGACATCGACTGCGAGGTCCACTGCCGAAGAGCAGTCCAGCTCGCAGTCGTCTGCTGCCGAGCAATCGAAGAAAACGACTCGGGAGGCGGGCGAGCCGCCGAAGCAGAAGCTCTCGCAGTCGTGGTGCCCTCTGACGAATCGCAAAGCCACCGCCAAGCGCTTTGGAATCGCACTCTTGATCTCCTTGATCTTGCTTGCCCTCGCGGGCGCGCTTGCGTTTGCGATCTACGTTGGGACGTGCCGCAGGGCGCAATCAGTGTTTACAAGCCGAGAAGATCTCAGGCGAGCAATCGAGCTCTACGACTTCGATGAGGGCTTTTGCGATTCGCTCCATGGTGGCAGAATACCGATGAACGCGTGGGACGTGTCGGCCGTGACCGACATGCACGACCTGTTCACTAACCACGAGGAAGCCTCCGAGTTCAACCAGGACATGGTCATCAGCGCGTGGAATGTCTCGGCGGTCACCGACATGCGCTACATGTTCTACCTGGCCGACTCCTTCAATCAGGACATCAGCGCGTGGAACGTGTCGGCAGTCAGAGATATGAGCTACATGTTCTCCTGGGCCACCTCCTTCAACCAGGACATCAGCGCGTGGAACGTGACTGCAGTCACCGCCATGAGCTGGATGTTTTTCTACGCCCGCTCCTTCAACCAGGACATCAGCGCTTGGAACGTGTCTGCGGTCACCGACATGCGCAGCATGTTCGCTGGCGCCGACTCCTTCGACCAGGTCCTCTGCTCGGATGCGTGGCGCGCCTCGAAGGGCAAGGCGTCACAGAGCTACATGACATGTACATGTTCTCTGGCACGAACGGTGCAGGCATCTGTGAATGAATGTGGGCTCTGAGTTTGCCACCGAAGCCTCGCTGTCTGTCTGCAGGACGCTGTCTGTCTGCAGGACGTCTGTGTGACCGCAAGCGTGATGGCCGCCGTCCCACTTTTGCTTATCGAAGGCGTCTTGCAGCGAGCACGAAGTGTGAACGCGTAATAGGTTTTCTTCTGCGTTTCGCGCCCCCCGTGCGCGCATTATGCCAAAGCGCCCGCCAGCCACGACCGCGACGTGCTCGCCGAAGAAAGGGAAGACCGCCGTCGTCAACCCGCTTCGCGATGAGGACAAACTGAAGTTCGCGATGAAGTCGGCGGCGGAACACTTTTGGCAACGGAAGGAGCCTTTCACGTGCGTGCAGTGGGGCCAGCAGGTCTACGCGGAACTTGGCTACCATGATTTTGCCGTCAACGACGCAGGGTCGCGCATCAAGCTGAATGGCAAATTGAGGGAAGAAGCATTCGACAGCGCGGGCTCCGAAGCAGCCAAGTGGCTCAGACGCAACCGCGTCAAGCGCGATGCAGACAAGATCGGCGCGCTGCCGGCGCTTCCAGGGCCGGTGCCGCAGAGCGCAGAGGTACCGGTGCCCACGCAGCAGGCTCTGCAGGCGCAGGCGCAGGCGCAGCTGGAGGCAGTCGACGTCAGCGCTCTGTACGAGAGCGGCGCGCTGCTGATCCCGAAGCTGCTCACGCAGCAGCAGGCGCGCGAGTGCCTGGGTGCGCTGAGCAACGAAGAGGCGTTAGAGAAGCGCGAGACTCACCTGCGCCGGTCCACCGGCAATGGCGCGGCGGGGTCGTACTTCACGATTCGCCAGGGCCAGGAGCCGCCGGCGCTGCAGGCGATCATCGAGGCGCTTCGCGACTGGCCAGCCCTGGAGCCGTCGCCGACACCGGCGCAGCGCGACTCGCTGCTGCTGCGCTACGGATGTGGTGGAATCAACTTTGCCCACCAGGACCAGGGCGACTTTGCGTGGCAGGCCGTGCTGCTTCTCAACCCGCCCTCCGAATTCGAGGGCGGCGCGCTCTATGTCACGGACGTCAACGAGTCTCCGCTGTCGCGGCGGGAGGTGCCCTTTGAATGCGAGGGCGACGTGATCGTCTTCGCTGCCAACAGCACGGCGCCGCTGAAGAAGAAGGGCCGCAACATGTACCACGGAATGACGGAGGTGACGCGCGGACAGCGCTTCGCCATCGGGATGTTTCAGGGGGCAGGGTAGTAGAAGAAGAGCTTGTTTCGCCCTCTTACTTAGTAAGCTCCCCCGCGCACCCTGACACCCTCGCCTTCCAATCTTCTTGTCCTCTTCATGCTGCATGGAGGGGTCTGGTTACCGCGAGTTCATGTGACGGCCCTATTACGTCTGCCCCTAGTACTATAACCCCTAGACCAAAACCGGCCTCTCTGTCCAACAAGCCTCTCTTATCTTACCTTCTGCCCCCCCCTCCTGCGACCCCCCAGGCTAGATGGAGTAGTCACAGATAAGCCGGATGAAGATTCTGCCCCACACAGCACCTTACCCCTTCACCCTCGCCTCGCTGCTTGGTGTTTCTGAACACGTAGACGACCACGCTGTGGGGGTTGTGTGCGGGTTGTGTCTGGGAGGGAGGGAGTGGGGTGCAGGTTGCTCACCCACGGCACCGGGCCGGTGCTTGCACTTTGAATGCCGTGGGGCTCCTGCCCGTGTCCCGGGCGTGGAGATGCGAGGGTCGCCCCCCCTTGCCCCACCACTTTGTGTGTGTGGAGACGTTTACCTTACCTACCTTACAAGCCTCTCTGTCTCCCTTTAAAGTCTGGGCTGGGACCGGACACAAGTCACAACTAAAGTTTGGGCTATCTCTCCGCCGCCGAGAGGGCTCTCAAAGCTCCGCCTTTTTTATTCTGGGCGCGTACTCCGGGATCCTTGGACAGATGTTGCACGAATGCGGGCAACCTGTGTCACCCGAAATCCATAGTGTCACTCTTATGTTTTTTTTTTGCAAATTTGCGAAGTGCGGCTTCGGTGTGCATTTTTGCGGCTTCGGTGTGATTTTTTGCGGCTTCGGTGTGATTTTTTGCGGCTTCCGTGTGCGTTTTTGCGGCTTCCGTGTGCGCCCGTCGCTTACCTGCCCGCGACGACGCTGCCCGCCTTTGCCGCGCCAGCCGCCGGCTTGCTGCAGCCGCAGCGCGCGGTGCCCGACCACCGGCGCGCCCGCCCGCTCGCCTTCTCGCGCCGCCTCTCCGCGCAAAGCCGCTCACGCCGCGCGTACTCAGCCATCGGCGCGACATCACCCCCGCAGGCACCTCGCGACGGGTCGGCGCACTCGTGTGGCTCAACGCGGACCTACGGAGCGACTCCGCCGCGCGGCTTGGCGCTGCCCATGGCAGCAACAGGTGCCGCCCCACCACCCGCCTGCTGCCAGGGACTTACTTACGTCCCCTCCCCGCGCGTCCTCTCCGCGCACCCCACCGACCCACGATGGAGAACGGCGCAGTCGTCCACGCGAAAGTGATAGCGCCGGCTCCTAGCGGCGGAATCATCGACAAGGAATTGGTGGCGATGATTCCGCACCTCAAGGAATTGGTGGCGATGATTCCGCACCTCAAGGAATTGGTGGCGCTGAAGGAGGCCGGTGCGCTCACGGAGGAGGAGTTCGCCGCCGCAAAGACCAAAGCCCTCGCTGAGCCGCCCACCAAGGTGCCAGTCGACGCCAATGCACCGCACTCTTTCATCCCGTCCGAGGTGCGGCAATTGGTGGAACAGCTGCGCGGACCGATTGGGCTGACGGAGGCGGCCGCATTGGCGCTGTGCAACCTCAATCGCGAATACAGCAACCAGGTGGCGTTCGCGGAGGCGGGCGGCATCCCGCCGTTGGTGGCGATGGCTCGCGACGGCACGGACCAGCAGAAGATGTGGGCCGCGGCGGTGCTGGAGAGCCTCACTGTCACCCACTCCGGAACTGTCAACACCGCCAACCAGGCGGCGATTGCGAAGGCGGACGGGATCGCGCCGCTCGTGGCGATTGTGCGCGGCGGCAAGGAGGGACCGACGGAGAAGGCCGCGAGGGCGCTACAGCGCCTCGCTTACGAGAACGTCGATAACCAGGCGGCGATTGCAAAGGCGGGCGGCATCGACGCGCTGGTGGCGTTGGCTCGCGGAGGCATGGCGGAGCTGGCCGTGGGGATGCTGAGCGACCTCGCTTCGGGCCAGCCAGCGACTGGGGTATCCAACGCCGACAACAAGGAGGCGATTGTGAAGGCGGGCGGCATCGACGCGCTGGTGGCGCTGGTTCGCAAAGGCACGACGAGCGCTGTACGGCATGCAGACGCTGGTGGAGCTTGGCTCGCAAAGGACGCCGCGTACCTGCTGGGGACCCTCGCTCGGGACAGCGCCGACAGCCAGGTGGCGATTGCGAGGGCGGGCGGCATCGACGCGCTGGTGGCGCTGTATTGGCTTAAGGAAATGTTCTACACCCCCGAGGGTCCAGGGTACGTACGCTGGAAGCCAGGTTCCCTGGAAGCGGACACAGCGCTGCGTGCTCTCGGCTGCAAGCGTGGGTTCTTCGTCTGGACGACCCCCAAATGTCTTCGCGAACACATACCGGCAGCTCGGGCCGCCGCCGTCCCGCAGCTCGGCGGCGGGGGGCCGCGCAAGAAGGCGATCGAGGAGGCGAAGCAGCGCGAGCGCAAGCAGCGGCGCTAATGTAGTGGTGTCGCTTGCATCATGAAGTTGCTCCTCCCCGCGGTGAGCTCCGAGATGCTCCGCGGTACGTTGTGCATAGCTGGTTAGGGATAGTTCAGTAAGGTCACACTGTCTCGACCAAGTGCTCCAGCCTCCACAAGTCGACAAGTGCTCCCCCACACCAGTGGAAGAATGGTCATCGCGTCGACAAATGCGGGGCGCCGGGGGGGTCTGGATTTCTACATTTCTGAGCCAATCGAGGACCCGCCCCCGGCAGCCGCACCCGGCTGGGCGCCACCCACTAGACCCCGCGCCGAGACCGCCGTGTGGCCGTGCGGGCGCGCAGTGCGCACACAGCGCCGCAGTGGCCTGTGAGCCCCCCGGCCAACACTCCCCGGTAAAAAAACGATCTCGAGTCCTGGACTCCATCCTCCCCCTCAAAACACAACACGTGGGGATCATGGTGTGAGAGAGCGGCAAAGTCGCAGAGACGGAGGAGAGAGGTCCCGGCTCCGGTTCCGAACGGTGAGACTGTGCGCGAAACGCGGCCCTCAGCTGAGCTGGTGGGGCTTCATCAGCAAGTGCGGCTTCTGCACCGTCATCGACTTGTGGACGGCTTGCCAGAAGGAAGAGACGGTGACGGCGACGTCGTGCTGGTTCACCTTCTCCTTGGAGAAGGCGTACTTTTCGACGTTCCAGCTCTTGACCTACGGCCGCGAAAGGCGCCGGAGTCACGGGTGTGAGTCAAGGGTGTGAGTCAAAGGGTGTGCGTTAAGGGTGTGCGTCAAGGGCTCGCGCTGAGGGACAAATGGCGCTAGCCTTCCGACGAGATATGGGGAGATGTGGGGAGATGTGGGGAAAAGTCCTCGAAGCTCCACATCTCGGCTCCTCTCGGCTCCTCTCGGCTCCTCTCGGCTCCTCTCGGCTGGTCTCAGCAAAGCTTGATCTCGGCTTTAACTCTCGGCTTGAATCTCGGCTTGAATCTCGGCTTGAATCTCGGCTACATCTCGGCTGCATCTCGGCTCATCCCGCGCCAGCTG